CAAAGTCGCGAAAAAAAAAAAAAAAAAAAGAATAGGAAGGAAAGAGTTTCAATGTAGCAGGAAACTCTGGGGGGCAGGTAACGGGAAGACTGGTGCTCTGTCCTTCCGTGGTCACATGGCTCCTAGGCCAGGGTCTAAGGAGTGGCGCTGTGCGGTGGTCCTCATGCGCCCCTCTCGGGGTGAGTTCAGCATGCAGCTTTGCCCTACTCTGTGTCCATTCCCCACTGGGTTTCAGGCCTTGGTTTTGCCCCGTGAGTTTGCTTCTTATACTGGCCCTCCTCAGGGGATGCCCGGGACAATCTTAAAGGCCACCTGCTCTACTTAGCCCCAGAACAAGTCAGCCCTGTGCTGCCACTCCCCAACCAGGCAGAGTTCTCCCCAGTTCCTCAAGATGGTCCACGCAGAGCGTTAGTTTGGGGGAGCCTTCCTGTACCCTCCCTTCCGAGGGCACGACTGGCTGTGAGTGCTGGGGGAGTAGGAGCAGGGTGTTCTCTGCAGCCTCAGTGCTCCCGCAGCCCTGCTATCGGAGAACGTCTTTCTCGGTCCGGTCCGTTCTCAGAAGTTCCTCTTTCAGTCTGACTGGCCCCTTCCTGTTGCACGCGGAACAGACAGCGATAGGCACACTCTCCCGTCTATCCCCTGCCTCGCCTCCCCAGCCTCTTCTTGGCCCTGAGCCCCCTCAACACATTTTCCACTTTAAAGACGATAGAAGTTCCCCAACTAGGCCATTCTGCCCCTCACGTGAGAAAGTACCATCTGTGCAGAGGAGCGACGGCCACAGAAACTGCAGGACTCGACAGAGAAGTCAGGGCTCTGAGCCAGCGGCCCAGGGATGGCGCAGGCCAAGGAACGTGGGAGATGGAGGCACTTGCATCCTGGCTTGGGGGGGGGGTGTAGAGGGAGAGCTATGCTGAGGGGGCCTAGGTCACGCCTGCCTCCCCACACCTCTCAGGTTCCCAGGCCTTGAACAGACCCAGGAGAGGAGAAGGGGGTGGTCTTACAGGGGGAGGGGCTATGGCATCACTCTTCGCTCGCAAACACCCAAGGTGCCCAATTCGCCACCTATCACGTAACCAGGGAGCACAGGCTCCATAGACCTTCAGGTCTGGAGAGACTGTGTCCCTGCAGCTTTCCTCTGGGTTCTGGTGCTTCCTCTGGTGTTAACAAACTTTCCTTCTCTAAGCCTCAGTGTCCTCGTTTGTTAAACATGGCTTAGGTGATGGCTCTGGGAGAGGACACTGGTTAGGTGGAAAAATCATGGGTTTGGGGGATGGGGCTGGCACTTCCCCTCTCCAAGCCTCCGTTTTCACCTCCTTAAGAAACAAGTATGGGCGTAATGGCTACGTCGCTGGACTCTCATGTAGTTGACCGCAGTTCGAGTCCTGGACCCAGTGGCTTAAACTCATGCCAGGTGCACATGCGTGCATGCCCAAGATCCCGAGAGGAGAATGGAGGAGAAGGGACTGTGGCGTGGCCATCCTCCCTGGGGGGTGATTTTTTGCTTTCTGTCTCTCTGTCTCTCTCTGTCTTTCTGGTGAGCGCACACCCTAGAGGTGAAAACCTCTCAAAAAAGAAAAAGAAAAAGAAACAAGTATGCCCATCCCTGCCTCCTAGGGTTGTTATGAAGGGTCGGTTCTGCCCCGAGGCCCCCACACACCAGATGCTGAAGAAATGTTCCATCTCTCTTGTCCCTAGAAGACCCTGAGGTTCCCCCAGTTCAGAAGGCATGTCTGCCTCGGGACCCTGTCCCCTGCTGAGTCCTAGCCCAGGCCTTGCAATGTGGGCATTGAATCCAACAGAAACCTGGCTGTACTCCTCCATGGGGCTCAGGCCGGAGGGTGACATTATTTTCCATTTGACTCTGATTTTCCCATGGTGGCTGCATTCCTGGCTCCATCCGTGTGCCCCCGATCTTCCCCCTCCTCCCTTGTGCCCCATCTGTGTATGTCCCCACCCAGACCCTCCCCAGAGCCAGTCTCTCACACCTTATCCTTCACAAGGGATTCCCCAGGTTCTGTCGCCACAGAAAGAGCCAAGGTCTGGCTACTCACAGCATTGACGGCCAGGTCCCCACGGATGTCCTGTGGCGTGATCTCATGGAGCAAAGCAGCCCCCGCCACGGCGCCCAGTAGCTGGGCAGCTACATAGAAGGCAGCTCGGAGAAAGGAGACGTGGCAGCCCACCAGGAAGGCCACTGTCACCGCAGGATTGATGTGGGCCCCACTGACGTGGCCTAGAGTCTGCACCAGTGTGCCAATCCCCAGGCCAAATGCCATTGCAATCTGCAGCCCAGAGGGCAGGGCCTGTGGCCACTTGAGGGCCGAGCCAAGACCAAAGAAGACAAAGAGGAGTGTGGCCAGGAACTCGGCGAACACGGCCCGGGAGAAGGCTATGGACCGGAGCTCCCACATGCTGTGGGCCCTCGTGGGCCGGCCAGCCGGCTCAGGGCTGGAGGCTGTGGTGCTCTCGCTCTCTCTCCTTCTCTCTCTCAGGGCCTCTGGGGAGGCTGAGCCATGGCCATTTATAGGGTCTGTCCGTGAGGTGGAAGTGGAGTTCAGGCCAATACCTGTTCTCCCATGGCTGCCCCCACTCCTCATCCTGCCCACCCACTGCATGACTATCACCCCATCTCGGCCTTCACAGCTGACTAATGTTCCCCATTAATGAGCACCCGATAAGGCCTGACTTCCCTGGTTTTCCGTATTTGTTCCCTCGGTTCCCCCAGGGCTGCTGCCCCAGGGCCTCCCTACCCCCATGGGCTTCTGTCAATGGCAACCTTTGTGGGGGCTTGGGTCTGATGCCCCCCTGGCTCAAGCTATTAGCCAAGGCTGGTGCCACACTTCACCCAAAACTGATGGTGAGGGACGTCAAAGCTACCCCTTCACGTGGCTGGGAAGTTCTCTGGGTATCTGACCTCCAATGATTCCTTCTCGAAGGGAATGGAAAACAACTAGTTGGGCTTGAGGCAAATTTCTAAGGCATAAAGGTTCTATGCCCCTTCTGTGCTTGCGTTCTTGGAGTCAGTCACGCAGAAGTCATTAGCGTCACCTCTGTCGAACCCCAGCCAAATGGCAGCCCCTGTAGCCTGGAGGCAGAGTTTGATCTCCACGGCATGTGACCCTGGCCCAAGGAGATGGAGTCACCACAGGGTCAACTAAGGAACGTGAGGGTTCCCTGTCCTCTCTTTGCCTTAACCTTTTTTGTCTTTCTCTGTAAAATGGAGATAATTAAACCTGCTTCGTGGGGTCAAGGTTGGGATGAAATGAAATAGCATATGCAAACGCAATGAGCAGCCTCTGGCCCATAGTAAGTGATCAGTTAATACCAGGCATTACTCGCAGTACCCTTTATGCTCAGAGGAGAAGAGGTTTCCCCAAACCCACGTGTCAGGGTACCAGAAGCTGTCACAGGCTCTCGGCATCCGCCGGAGCTTGGAGCCACCCAAGCCACGGGGGAAGGCATTTCTGTGGGGCAGTGTGCTGTGGAGGCCCAGGAAGGCTGTGATGCCCGATAAGCAGCTCTCCAGCCCCAGCGCCCACGCAGCCCAGCATCCGGGCAACACCACCTCCTGCCATCTGCACTGGGACTGCTGCAGTCCAAGAGGGTGGGCTTCTGTATCCTTCTCTGTCTCCTATCCAGCAACAGAAATCTGAGCGGGATTATGGACTATAGAGAGAGCACTTTGTGTTGTGTCGCAGGGGAGAACTGAGGACCAGGGAGGGTGAAGGCGTATCTACGTCGAGGCTGAGCTGGGACTGGAACCCGGTCTGGAGAGCTTTCTGCCACGCCCTCCACCACGGAGTCACAAAATCCTGAGGGAAGAGTAGAGAAGAGATTGTGCTGTGGCCATCCCCCCTGGGTGATTTCTCACTTTCCTGCTCCTCTCTCTCTCTCTCTCTCTCTGGTGAGTGCACATGCCCTATAGCAAAGACTAAAAAAGAAAAACAAAGCAAAACAGGGAGGACATCTGTGACTTGCCTCTAGACTCAACCTACAGGAAGAGGAAAGGACTGGGAAGGAATCTCACCCAGAAGCTGTGCCTTCCCCACTCCCTGTTGTTGTGACTTCATATATCGCTTCTCCTGACCCTCAGAGAGATTGTCTACACCAGCTGGCTAAGTTCAGGCCTGAGCTACAGGCTCCGTGGGAAACCTTCCCCTCCGGCCTCATATGAGCTGATGTTGTGACAATGGTTTCCAAATCCATCTTCAACCACTGAGTTGCCGTGTGCCTCTGAGTAGTCCATACACCCTTTCTGATCTTAGCATATATTTTTTTCCCTCAAAAGAATTATTTATTTATTTTTAAAATTCCATTTGTTATTACTATTATTATTTTAATTTTGACCAGAGAGAGAGAATGGGAAAGAGAAAAAGCAAGCGGCCAGATCCAGCACCCAAACCACGGTCAGCATGTGGGAATCCCGCGCCTTTGACCACCACGCCACCTGCCGGCCCTATGGTCTCGGTATTGATGATTAAGGTATTGATGATTAAGGTATTGATCCATCTTGAGAGAGTGGCCCTTGGTTCTGGGAAGGACTGCCCCTAATCCAGTCGGGTGAAAATTTCCTACCTCCTGATAAACGCAGGAGAGTCACAGCTTCGCCCTGTAGCCCACGAAACCCTGACACAAATGTGTATGTGTGTGTTCTTTCAGTTACACAATCACAACTTTCACACCCAGTGGGAGCTTAGAGAACATCTAGCCTGTGGGTCCCGTCTAACAGATTAGAACATGCTATCTGGAGAGATCATGACTCCTGGGTCACACAGCTCACAGCCGCAGTAAGGACCAGAGCCCACGTTCCGGTCTGGCCCCAAGTCTGGGGGGAGCAGCCCGCCGTGACTGCACACCTACTTGTGTTTGTTTTGTTCTCGACTTCCCCTTTGCACTGGGGAGAGAGAACTTGTTCTTGTCAAAGCCAGCAGGGCTCACGCTTCCTGGCCAAGGACTGCAGCATTTTGCCTACAATGACCACTGCGTCATCCCTTAGGACGTCCGTGGTGACATCTCTGTCTATGATACACTCCTAGTTAGTTAGGAGATGACAAACGGGCTCTCTTGGAGATGGAAGCAAAGCGATGGGAACGTGCTTAATACCCTGAACTGTGCGCTTACAAATGGTGGCGGCGGGCAGGTGGTGGTGCAGTGATAGCACAACGGGCCCACGTGGGATAGGTCCTGGCTTTGAGTCCCGGGAGCATGCCAGCTGGGCAAACACGTGCCTGTTCTGGGCCCGCTGAGGCTGGGGTGGGCTGTGGTGTGAGGACCCTGTTGGGGATGCTGTCTCTGTCTGTGTCTCTCATAAAATAAACAAACTTAAACATGGCTAAAATGATAAGTTTTATGTGTATTTTACTACCATTTAAAAATAATAGGACCAGGACCAGCAGATGGTGTAGTAGTTACATTGCTAGACTCCCACGTAGTCGACTGTGGTTCGAATCCTGGATCCGGTGGCTTGAAAACCCTGGGTGTGTGTGAGTGCATGCCCAAAATCTTGGAAGGAGAATGATGAAGGGATTGTGGCGTAGCCATCTTCCCTGGGCTGGGGGGGGGTGTGATTTCTCACTTTCCCTCTCTCTGTCTCTGTGTCTCTGTGTCTCTGTCCACTCTCTCTGGTGAGCACATGCATCCTAAGGCAAAAACCTCTCAAAAAAGTAAATAACCAAAAAATACTAGAGCAAAAAAAAAAAAAAAAGATTGGGGACCTGCCAGTGACATAATGGTTAAGGTGCTTGACTCCCACATGCTGACAATAGTTTGAGTCTCTGACCTGGAGGTTTGGTTTCCTATTTTCCCTTTCTCTCTCTCTCTGGTCAAATTAAACAAATAATAATGATATCAAATGAAATAAAGTAATTTTTAAAATTGGTTGGGTCCTATAGCCTGGTGGTCACAGGAGCTGGCTCCCACATGGCTGACTCCCACATGGCTGACTATGGTAAATATACTGATCCTGGTGACTTGAAGACCACGCTGAGTGTGCGTGTGCACCCCAAACCCTCATGGATAAAGAAATGGAGGAGAATTGCAGCATGTCCGTGCTGAATTGGGGGGCACTTTCTCCGTTTCCTTCTCTCCCAGTTTCTCTGGCAAGTGTGTATTCCCTTGAGCAATAAAAGCAAAACAAAAACTTTAAAAAAGAATGATTCATTTATTTAACTTTATTTGTTGTTATTATTATTACTTTTAATTTGACCAGAGAGAGAAAAAGACAAAGGGAGAAAGCAGGCTGCTAGGCCCAGGACTCAAACCGTGGGAGTCCAGTGCCTTAACCACCATGCCACGTGCCGTCCCGGAAACAAAAACATTTTCAAAAGTCAAAAAGGTGACCCAAAAAATGACTTCTTACCATTAAGAATTTTTTATTTTCCTCAGTGAGAAAGGTCTGTAGATTTATTCAGATAGCGGTTGTTAAAGTCAAAATCACTCTTGGGGGACCAGCAGTTAGCATAATGGCTATGTTGCTGGACTCCCACATAGTCAACCGTGGTTCGAGTCCCAGACCCAGTGACTTAAACTCACGCCGGGCACGTGTGCGTACGTGCCCACGATCCCGAGAGGAGAATGGAGGAGAAGGGATTGTGGCGTGGCCATCCCCCCTGGGGGGTGATTTCTCGCTTTCTGTCTCTCTGTCTCTCTCTGTCTGGTGAGTGCACACGCCCTATAGCAAAAACTTCTCCAAAAAGAACCAAAAAAACAAATCATTCTTGGGCATCCATAAAAAAATAAATTATAGGCAAAGAAAAAAAAAGTTGGCTAAATATGCGTCAGCCAGGGGCCTGGTGATTAAGGCAGCTGGCTCCCTCACGGCTGACTGGGTAGTTTGAGTCCTAGATGCAGTGGCTTGAAAAACATGCCAGGCGTATGTGCGTTTGCGCCCAAGATCCCAAGAGGAGATTAGAGGAGAAGAGATTGCAGCATGGACATCTCTCATGGGGGTGCTTTCTCACTTTCCCTCTCTCTATGGTAGGCACAAGTGCCCTTTAGAAAATTAAAAATAAAAAAATTGGCTAAAGTAGTCCCCGAGTTTCTGCCCATGCAGATTCTAACTTTCTTGACTTTTTCTCACTCATTCCTGGAGGCTTTTCTACCTCTGCACCGACAGAGGTACTGTCTCTTTAAGGATGGTCCGCTGTTGCTTCCAGAATTGCTTCCCAGGCCCCAGATTTTGCTTCCCAGTCTTCTGGGAAGAAGGCGGTCTGCAGGCGGTCTCTTGCTTCCCGTGGTGTGACTTCTATCATTGCCCTTTCTCAGTGATAAAGCCACACAGCACCACAGTTTGACCTCCGTGTGGGTCTCTCCCTTTCTCGGGTCTGGGAAACCGTTGGCTGTTGTTGTGTAAGAAAATATGGAATCGCAGTCATTCTTCAGCGATACTGTTTGCTGGCCTGGTATCACATTCCTGCCGCACTCCTCCGCTCCCATACCTTTCTGCATACACAATAACTTTAAGTGCTAAACCGCGGTGTAACCTTTTTGAAGATATTTTTTTAA